CATAAAGAGAGGTAGGTGGCCTGGAGGAAAACACCATTTCTACATGGACGCTCTTCAAACACGACTCTGGTGGGACATTTCCTGTGGACGCTTGAAAATACATCGGTGAACCCTATGTTTGCAGGACCTGACTTTCAGAAACAGAGACTTGAAAAATTGAAGATTCATTCTTGACCAATATTTTTCAAGTGCACACTAGCATTACTGAGAATTTCATCTTTAAACCTCATGAAATAATTTTTTTTTTTGACAGGTAGAGTTAGACAGTGAGAGAGACAGAGACAGAGAGAAAGGTCTTCCTTCCGTTGGTTCACTCACCAAATGGCCACCATGGCCGGCGCGCTGCGCCGATCTGAAGCCAGGAGCCAGGTACTTCCTCCTGGTCTCCCATGCGGGTGCAGGGCCCAAGCACTTGGACCATCCTCCGCTGCATTCCCGGGCCACAGCAGAGGGCTGGACTGGAAGAGGAGCAACTGGGACTAGTACCTGGCGCCCCAACTGGGACTAGAACCCGGTGTGCTGGCGCTGCAGGCGGAGGATTAGCCAAGTGAGCCGCGGCGCCAGCCGAAATAATTGTTTTTGGTGATCATAAAAATGAGAACACTGAAAGTAAAAAATTCTTGCAGAGCTCTCACATCTGCCAGAGAAGAACTTGAGGCCGCTTTCTCTCTTGTGTCTGCTGATGTGGAACTATGTCCAAGGGATCCTCTAAGAGAGGAGGTGTGACTAGAGTTTAATTGGTGACAACATTGCTTTCAAAAGTCCATGCAGGGGCAGGTGTTAGGCCCAGCTGTTAAAATAACACTTGGGGTACCTTATGCTGTGCCAGAGGGCCTGGGTTCAAGTCCTGGCTTCACTCCCAATACCACTTTCTTCCTTATGTACACCCTGGGTGGCAGCAGGTGGTGGCTCAAGTGGTTGGTTTCCTGCCCCCTCTTCCTTGAATATGGGAGAGCTAGATTGAGTGCCTGGCTCTTAGCTCAGCCTGGCCCACCTCTGACTACTGTGTGCATTGTAGGTGTGAACCAGAGATGAAAGTCTCTCTCTCTCTCTCTCTCTCTCTCTCTCTCTCTCCCCCCTCCCCTCAGGCAAATAAACTAGATAAATAAATAAAAGTCTGCTTCACTTGAGTGACTTTAAGTGAGGCCCCTGCACCCCACTTGGACTTAGGTCTTTGTTACAGACTCAATCCTGTCCCTTCTCCCCAGCTTCTTGATTGCAGCCCTAACCTTAGTACCTTGAGGGTGACTGTATTTGGAGTCAGGTCTTGAAAGGCGTAATTAAGATGTGGTCACTGGGGTGTGCTCTAATCTAGTAGAGAGATTTCTTGTAAGAGCAGGACACTGGGACCCAGACACTTAGAGAGGTGTGACCGTGAGAAGGCACTCACAGGGTTGTGAGGATTAAGTGATCTGTCATATACTAAGAATTTAGCAGACGGCCCCAATAGATGAGAATTGTTTAATATAATTCTAGTGCTTTGACTCATAATACGCACAACATGTTATCTGTCACTCTGTAACATGTTTTTTTTTTTTTTTTTTTTTTTTTTTTTTTTTTTTTTTGACAGGCAGAGTGAACAGTGAGAGAGAGAGACAGAGAGAAAGGTCTTCCTTTCCCATTGGTTTACCTCCCAATGGCCGCTGCGGCTGGTGCACCGCACTGATCTGAAGCCAGAAGCCAGGAGCCAGGTGCCCCCCAAGTCTCCCAAGCGGGTGCAGGGCCCAAGGACTTGGGCCATCCTCCACTGCACTCCCGGGCCACAGCAGAGAGCTGGATTGGAAGAGGAGGAAATGAGACAGAATCCGGTGCCCCAACTGGGACTAGAACCTGCCAGCGCCACAGGCGGAGGATTAGCCTATTGAGCCACGGCGCTGGCCTCTGTAATATGTTCTTTGTGTGTGTGTGTGTGTGTGTGTGTTTTGACAGGCAGAGTGGACAGTGAGAGAGAGAGAGACAGAGAGGAAGGTCTTCCTTTTGCCGTTGGTTCACCCTCTAATGGCTGTCGTGGTCGGCGTGCTGCGGCCTACGCACCGCGCTGATCCGATGGCAGGAGCCAGGTGCTTCTCCTGGTCTCCCATGGGGTGCAGGGCCCAAGTACTTGGGCCATCCTCCACTGCACTCCCTGGCCACAGCAGAGAGCTGGCCTGGAAGAGGGGCAACCGGGACAGAATCCGGCGCCCCGAATGGGACTAGAACCCGGTGTGCCGGCGCCGCAAGGCAGAGGATTAGCCTAGTGAGCCGTGGTGCCGGCCTCTTTGTGTGTTCTTAACATCATCTGATATTTGGGGACAAATTGCGTGACTCACAGACATAGATGAAATGAGGATCCAGCCTCATCTTACATGTGAGGATGTTGAGATGAAGAGAGGGGGAGACTGGCCATGATCACCCAGAGTCCATTTTCTTCTCTGTAAACTGGGACTAAAGCCCCCATTCCCTCTTCCTTGCAGCCTTGTTGTCATGACCAAATGAGAATACATATAGGGATGTGCATTGCAGAGAAGAGAGAGATACAGCCCTGTGGGTTAGCACGTCTCTAAAAATGTACTTTCCAAATGGACTCTTCATGATGGGGTGTGCCTTTAGGTTTTCCACGTGGCAATAGCCCAGGGATCAAGAGACCTCGCTTGACTCTATGCTGCTCCGACTCCCTGTGTGGTGGATCTGGGTCCTTGCTGGCTCCGGTGGCCCCCTCTGTATAGGAAGCCTACGTGCATGTCTCCTGGGTGTGGGCAATGTATTTCTGTTGTTTTACAATGACTCAGTCTAAGGTGCTTTGAAGAAAGAAGCTTGAGTGGATGGAGACATCCAGAAGGAGGATCTTGCAGATGTAATGAAGGTGAGGATTGGGGGGAGATCATACTGGCCCTAGATACAGTTTGGGTCTCCTTAGACGAAGACGAAAGGACACATGGGGAGGACGGTCATGGGAAGAGGGAGGCAGGAAAGGAGGGATGGGCCCACAAGCCCTGCAGGAGCGCCAGAGGTTGGAAGAGGCAAGGAACTCCCCTTCCCTAGAGCTTTGGGAGGGTGCTTGGCTCTGCTGACATCTTGGCTTCAGACTTCTGCTCTCTAGAGCTGTTGCTTTTAGCCACTAAGTTTGTGGCTAATTTGCTATGGTGGCCTTAGGAGGCTGATACGGTGGGGTTGATAGTGCAAATGCTGTTCGCACATCACCCAGAACAAACCAGACATTGCAGCAAGCACTCCATGAGAACTAACTCATTTTGTCAGGTGTCACTGTAACACCATCTCCAGCTTGCAGAAGATACTGAGACTACAGGAGCTGCAGTAGCTGATCTGAGTCCCTGTGGCTGGCCAGTGTTGGACCAGGGTGTATTATCTGGGACTTTCAACTCTGACATCCGCATCTGAACCTCTGAACTCTCCCAGCTCCCACAGGAAGAAGATCTTCCTTGGGCATGGTTATGGATCCAGGAGGTAGGCTGGCCCTTGCTTTGCTGGGATTTCAAGAGGAGAACATTTTCTTAAAGCACCACTGGGCTCATATATTCCTGGTGTCATGAGTTTGTAGGCTGGACAAGGCTGGAGGAGGTGGCCTCAGCCCAGTGAGACACATTCTGTTCTCCCTCCAGCTCTGTAAGACAGCAAACAGGTGGCATTGCACGTGATGCGTCTGTGGTCTCATTGGATGGGTGTCCCTGGATTCCTGCTGGGCGCTCCTCAAAGAAGTGCATGGTGACCTCTCACATGTGGAGACGTGTGGCACAGCCCACTGCAGTTTGTAATGAGTCATCGTGCTGGATTGCACTATTACCAGTCCTCGGAGACACTTACCCATCAGCTGTGACCAGATGCTTTCAGGTGCAGAGTCTCCCATCTCAAGCCAAGGACCTTGTCTAGGTCCCGCCATGGGCAGAAGGGCCCAAGCTTGAATCCTGGTCTGCCTGGCCCAGCTCCTCTGTGTCCTACACACCTTGGCCTTCCTCGCCTGCTTCCTGAGAAATTTCAAGTTCCCTCCACAGAGACTTGTTGCTCTCTGCTGCTCCTTACGGTTCTTACACTAAGTTACTACGCCTGCTGCCTATGTTGCCTGGCCGTTGTCTTTTATTTTCCCTATGGTGGTCTTGCCTCCTCTGTAAGATTACCCACCCTGAGAGCAAATGGTCTCTTTCTGACTTCTTTCCTCTTTTGGAACCTGCTTCAGGGGCTCACTGAATTTCTCCAGGAAGAGAGCCAAGAGAAACCCTTTCCACTATTAGGAATCCGTGGGGGCACTTCCCACTTCACACCCAGAAACCTCAAGCCCATTTTCGTGGCTTGTCATTGTTGGATATCAGCCAACGTGTGTGTGTTCACAGCAGCCTAGGAGTTCTCTGGCTGAGTAGAAGTTTTAAAAGCTCAACATCAAAGGTGGGAAATGCGGGGCAGACCTTGGTGTGTAGGAGGAGGAGTCAGATTTTTGGTAAAGGGGTGTGACACACACACACACACACACAAGCATGTGCACCTGCTTTACCAAATACGCCACTCTCCTCTGCTTCCACTTCACATTTGAGGCAGGTTTTAATTCCCGACAGCCTCTCTGTTGTTGTCCTACATAGGCAGAAAATATGTTTGTGGCTGTTCAGCTCTACTTTGCCTAGTAAAACCCTCCAAATAGGATTCCTGCTTTTTCTTGCAAATAGTACCACAAAAAGGGCCTGGGAAGTTTTTGAAGCAATGTGGCCAGGAGAAAACATGACAGCTCTGATGTCAGAAGCCTAGGACTTCTCTAAGGGCACACACCTAACATGTGGCCCCAAGGATTCCTCCCCCATTTGATAAGTTATACATAGGAGTGCTCAGAACCTACTTAATCGACACATGGATATGTGTCCCTGAAATTGTTTGTGCAACAAACTGCATGTGAATCCGAGAGAGGCCAGGGCGTCAGAAGGGCGAGTGTCTGGGGATATTTTAATATTCAGTATTTCCAGACTCAGCAGGCAGCGGGCTAAATCTGTCTGCTGATGGGCAGGCATGAATTATGAAACCACTCACGTAGGTTGAGAGGTTGCCCAGAGTTGGGGCACTGTTGCCACTAGTGTCTACTCCAGGTGGCGGGGAGTGGGGTTGCTCCACATCAGGAGGGAGGGGGCGATGTGAACAGGGGCAAGGATCACCGTGGAGACATGGCCCACAGTCCACTGGTCCCAAGTCCTGCAGAGAAAAGTGGGCAGCAAGATCAGAAACCCGGAATAAAACCCACAGCATGGACCCTGCTTTTGTGTGCTGGAGTGTGAGGCTGCCCCCTAGTGGCTAAGGTTCATAAGGGGACTGAAGTTCAAGGAGACTCACCATGAACTTCTTCCTGTGGAGTTCTGATGCCTCCTCTTGCAAGCGTGTGTGCTATGCAGGCTGTGATGCTCCAGTGTGAGACTGAATGCAGGAGTCCAAGGTGAGAAAAACCATGAGGGCTGGAGACAAGGCAGGGGGAGGTGGTGGCTGACTGTGTGTGAGGGGCAGCAAATACAATGAAGGAACCAGCCTCAGGAACAGCACATCAGTTACAAGTGTTTATTGATGTTTGCCTTGTATCTGACTTTGGTTTGTATCTGTGTGAAGTATATTCTACAAATTTTCTCAGTTCTCCACAACCACCCTAATCATTCCATATCCTTCTTCCTAAATTTATAGATGACAGAGAAAGAATCCAAAGTAAGGTATTATCATTACAATGCTTGTGGTAGTTAAAAGCTGTGCAATATCCAATCACATAGGCGCTTTACAAGCATTATGCTATTTAATCATCACACTTATTTTATGACGTAGGTTTTGTTATTTCTATTGTCATCATATTAAAGAAACTGAGGCTTACAGAGGGTATTTATTAGTTAGCTTTTACAATATGGTAAACTACTCCAAATTTAGCAGCTTGAAATAACAATCACTTATTTAGTTTTTAATATAGAGATTTGGCAATTTGGGTTGGGTTCAGCTGCATGGTTCTTCTGGTCTCAGCTCATCCAGGTCTCGCTGGGCCATTATGATTTGATGGTCAGATCCTGGTCAGCTACACAGTTCTGCTTCAAGGAATTAGTCATTCATGGGCTGGGGTAATGGTGGAGACTGGTCCAGGTGTCTCTCATCATTCAACAGGCTAATGTAAGCTGGTGGCTGGGAGGGATCTGAGAGACAGTGGAAACTGCGAAGTCTCTTGAGACTTAGGCTTAAAACTAGCATGGTGTCACTTTTATGGAATTCTATTGGCCAAGGAAGGTCACATGACCAGCCCGGAGTCAAGGGATGAACCATATAGACCTCACCTCTGGTAGGAGGAGCTGTAAAATCACAAAGTGTAAAAGCACAGAGTATGGTTACAGGGAAAGGTGGAGAACCGGGATGATTTTTGCAATGTTATCTCTGGGAGTATGTAGGGGAATGGAGGCTAAGGAGGGGCTCCCAGTCAGAAAGAACCCCCTAAGAGTTTTGGACAGAAAAGCAGATATAGGCTGGTATGCCTGAAATAGTAGGTGGCAGGAGAGTTGGAACATCATTCTGAGCACATTATATGCATTAACTCACTTAAGTCCCACAAACACCCCATAAGGCAAGTCCGTTGGTTATCCCATCTATACAGATGCAGACGTAGAGGCCATGGCTCGGGGAGGTTGGATAACACCTGAGTCACACAGCTAGACAGCAGCAGGGTCCGATTCCAAGCCAGGGAGTTCAGGCGCAAAGCCAGAACCACTATTAACTGCTGTCACTACAACAGAAAGGAGGAAGAAGGCAGGAAACAAAGGAAGGTGCTTGGTGCTGGGTGTTGAAACTACCTTCTGTAGAGGCCTGCAGACAATCAGGTGACGACTCCTTGCTACTCCCTTTTCTTTCCCCACTAGTTTCTGCATGAAGATGGGAAGAGCTGGGAGACCTCTTGGATTCTTTTCTGCCTCTGTGAGCCTCCAAATTGGTGCACAGTAGTGGCAAAGTATATTCACTAAGAGGTGGCTGTGAGCAGTAGAAACTGATTCGGTCCAGCTCAAGTTTGAAAAGAGACATTTCTTGGGGCCAGTGCTGTGGCACAGCAGGCTAATGCCCTGGCCTGAAGCGCCGGCATCCCATATGGGCGCCGGTTCTAGTCCTGGCTTCTCCTCTTCCGATCCAGCTCTCTGCTATGGCCTGGGACAGCAGTAGAAGATGGCCCAAGCGTGGCTTTGGATTGGCACAGTTCCGGCCGTTGCGGCCATCTAGGGAGTGAACCAGCAGATGGAAGACCTATCTCTCTCTCTCTGCCTCTCCTCTCTCTGACTTGCAAATAAATAAATAAATCTTTAAAAAAAAAAAAAGAAAAGAGACATTTCTTAAGGAAGTACTGGGGAGCTGTCAGAATCAGAAGGTCCCAGGAAAGGCAAGAACTGGACAAGCCCTTGGGACCTACCTCAACGACAGTAATTTGTAAGCTCACTTTCTAATGTGTTGCTAGCCAACGATGGTCTACAGGTTTCCCAGCACTGTCTCTTCAAGTCCCAATTTCCCATGACTGAGAGTCTGCCACAGTGTGGATCACGTGTGCTTATGTTGGACCAGTAGGGTCTGGCCAGGGACAGGTGGACATGAGCACAAGCAAGGCCCCTGGGGAATCACTTGGGGTCGACTGCTTGGTGGCAAGATCAGTTCTAAGCACCGTCACCTACACCCACCTGGAAAGCTCCAGGGATGTACCTCTTGGCAAATCGGAGTACATCTTCCTCTCCCAGGGACTCTAATGTGTCCAGATTCTGACCAAACTCAGAGCCAACAGCTTCCTGGCAGAAACATATTCAACAAGAGAATTTGGATATGGTCTTATTAATTGCATTCATTTGTCAGTGGCATTTTTGAGCCCATCAAATAACTTTCATTAAATTATAACAACCCACGACAGGTGATATATTTAAACCCAAGCAATTTTGCCACACAGGTTATATTTATAAGGCAGTGCTTTTCAATCCTGACTCCTCGAATGATCCAGTTATAAAATATTTATTAGCACTTCAAAGGCATCTCTTTTTTGCATCCAGTATCTTCTCCAGGAGAGACGTCGGGGCAGGCAGCTCTATTTGTTGCTTTCACAGTGTGATGTTCTTTGTGTGGTTCAAAGGTGCTTCCTTACATTTGCAGGGAAGTGAAGCTGGGTTTTGTAGATGAACAGTTTCTCTGCTGAGCTGTGTGTGATTTACCCCAAGACTGAAAAGGCCACTTGCATAGATTAAGTGGAATCTATGGTTTTCAAAAAATAAATTTGCTACTTAAATTTCCAGAAGGCAATTTCTTATACATGAGCACACCTGGCTTCCACACACATGCTTTATGACACTGTCCATTCTTATTCTTTTTTAAAAAGATTTATTTATTTATTTGAAAGTCAGAGTTACACACAGAGAGAAGGAGAGGCAGAGAGCAAGAGAGCGAGAGCGAGAGAGAGAGAGAGAGGTCTTCTATCCACTGGTTCACTCCCCAGTTGGCTGCAATGGCCAGAGCTGTGCTGATCTGAAGCTAGGAGCCAGGGGCTTCTTCCAAGTCTCCCATGCGGGTGCAGGGGCCCAAGGACTTGGGACATCTTCTGCTTTCCTAGGCCATAGCAGGGAGCTGGATGGGAAGTGGAACAGCCAGAACTCGAACTGGTTCCTATATGGGATGCTGGCACTACAGGCAGTGGCTTTACCCTCTATGCCACAGTGCTGACCCCTTTTCTTATTCTTGACAAGAAGACAATTTTTATGGAAATGTAATCTATTAGGGCAGTGTTTGGCTTAGAAATTTAAGACTTTGGTATGCAATGTTTCTAACTTTGCCACTAATCAATTCCTGATATGACCTTGAACAAACAACATCTCTCTACTTTTGTTAATTTCAATACATCAGTCTGGGATTGGTAGATATCCATCAGGATTGTGCTCAGCTACTTAGTAGAATAACAATGAAATTCTAATGATAGGAGTTTATTTTTCTACACTGACAAGTCACGTGGTAGGGATCTAGAGTTGGTGTAATAACCAAAAGAGGTTACTTAGGATCTAGGCTCCTTCTCTGTTCTTGAGATCAGCATGTGGTTTTTAGTTTTATAAAACAATTTTATTTGAAGTGGAGGGAGAGAGAGAAATTGCCCACCTACTGGTTTACTCACCACATGTCCACGATGGCCAACACTGGGCAAGGCTGAAGCCAGGACCTCGGAACTTGGTCCAGGTGTCCCATGTTGCTCACAGGAACCCAACTACCTGAGCCTTCACCACTGCCTCCCAGGGTCCGTAGCAGCAGGAAGCTGGGGTCAGGAGCCAGAGCTGGGCATCCAACTGAGGAACTCTGATAGGGGATGCAGAAGTCCTAATTTCTGGGCCAAATGCTCATCCTCAGCCCACGGTTTCAGTTAAGAAGAAGAAGGCTGGGCAAAAAGCAAGAGTAAAAAAAATGCCAAGTGAGTCTCTATTTTTAGGGAAGCAACACATTTTCTAGAAGCTCCCCTCACTGCTAGTCTTCTGCTGACATCTCATTTGCCAGACTGAATTATTGGCACCCTACATGCACAAGAGCCTGGAAAAGTAATCTTTTTATCTGGACATGTTGCAACCCCAGATGAGAAAATAGTTCTGTTGACAAAGAAGAATAATGGATATTGGGTAAGAACCTATCAGTGCCCTCCTCTTCCCCAGAAGGCAGAGCAAAACTACCATTTATTGGTCTGCTACCTGGTGGTGAGCATTGTACTAAGCCTTTTTCATCTGTATTTCCAATTAATTCCTGCAACGTATCTATGTGCAGTAGATGTGAACTCTATAGAGTTGAAGGAGCTGGGGTTCAGAGAGATCAGATTACAGAGTGAGATGAATTAAAGTAAATCCTCTATAATGAGTTCAGAAGTGCTGGAGGAGGGCTCGAGTTACTGGGAATATTTGCTGTTGGCTTCCGTGGAAGGGACTTGAAGGTTTTTACTCTCTTCTTTGCACTGTACACCCCTGGAGGGGAGTTTGGGTGAACTGCCATGATGTTTGCGGAATCTGGGATGCTTGCTGATCTCTGCGTCTCCCTGACAATGACACCAGCGGTTTTTGGTTTCCTTAGAGCTGAGCTGTGGTGGCCTCCCTCTCTGGAAAGGTTCTCCCTGTGTTGGATCAAGAGTCCTTCCTCACTGTCACCATGTTGCACATGGCACGTAAGTCACCTGCAGTGATTTGAGGGGAATGGAGATGGCCTCGCTTGTCCCCAACTCTCAGAAGCAAATAGCATTGATGAGCTGGCGTCTACAAAAGGGATGATGGTGTAAACTGGTAAGGACACAGCGTGGGGAGGCAGAATACTTGCTGCCTTTGAATCCCCTTTGCTGCCTACTGGCTCTGGGATTTGCCTGTTATTTGATTACCTCTCTCCCCAGTTTCCTCAGGTGTGAACTGGGTGATCGTAGAACCTAGGCCGAGAGTTGTGAGGATTAACACACACGAAGCATGTGGAACCATGCCTGCCACAGAGCTGACATTTGCAAGTGCCAAAGTCTGTGCTTGCTGCAAATGTCCTCGTTTTCAAACAATTTTGTAACACCCACTTTTGCAGACTTATTCTTTTGGATCTTGAAAGCTAAGTCATCATGATGTCCTAAGTTGTGAATATTGTAGTTATCAATTAGTGCAGATAAGGAAAAGAATAGCTAGTACTTGTTGAGCTACTATTCTTTTCGCTTTTTCAAAATACAGATGAACTGTGCAGCATGAGCTGAACTGCCTGGAATTGTGCCACATGGTGGCCCTGTATTGGTCAACTTGGGAGAGACAGATTGGTAAATAGCAAAGATCACTCTGCTTTTTCACAAGTGGTGCTACGTCTGCAGGTTTTAAATCCGCTACTTCCTTACCAATACTACTTTGGCGGGCCCAAGGGGGCCCACTTTCATTGTGTGGTTCTCCTGCCTTTCCTCGTCTTGCAGCCCCTGCCCACTAAAACATGGTCAGCAGGATGAGGTCAGAGGGTCTGCTCCCAGCTTATGCCGTGACGTTGGACAAGTCACGTCCCCATTTTGGGGACTTTGGTTCCCCAACTAAGAGGCAATCTCTAGGGCCCTTCGAGCTTGACGGTTTCCCAATCCTCACCGGAGGATGCTCTTGAACTTGGGAAACACAGCCTGCTTGGGAGAGTTTCATTTTGAGGCTTTTCTTTTGAGAGCTGCTTTAATTTATTGGGCCTCTTTCTGTCACTGAAGAATCAAGACAGCAAAGACTGAAATTCTGTTTTTCTTTTCCAAATGCGATGCTTAAGCAAGATGCAGTTTCACAGAGCAAATGCAGAGGAGTAGAAATGAATAGGGTTTCTCCTGTCTTTGAGCAGTCCCAGAGGAGGCTGTACACAGCAGGATAGCCCTTCAGCCAGATGGGCTGCCGGCTCCGAGAGCCAAGCAGTCACAGAGAATAGAGAAATCCGTTGCGGAAATGAGGAGAGGCGGGTTGCTGTGCGATGGTTTATTCTCACAGCTGAATCGAGTCTGCCTGGAGGCCAGAGGGAAGATGGAGAAGATTAAGCACGCCAAGAGACTCTCAGACACGAGCTGATGGGTGTGATGTTCCAAGTCTCAGTTCAGGGTCTGATGGGACTACGGCCCATGTGGCAACCTTGGGTGCAAGGCATTCTTGAGAGCAGGATTAGCCGCAGGGAATGTTGGAAAAGAGGGCTAGATGTTACTCAGTCCTCTTTGGTGGCCTTGCCCATGTTCCTTGGTGCTGTGGACAGCCTGGGAGATACAGGGCCCTCTCTCAACCTGCCTTATCTAGGCCAGCCTTGCTTTTTCCTGTGACACCTCATTCTCAGTTTTTTTTTTTTTTTTTCCTGTCCCATCCCTTTTATCATCAACCTTATTGAAATTTTACTTGGGAATATAGTGGGTAGAAAAAATCATGGCCTTTGAGCTCAGAGTTTTGGGTGGTGATTCTGGCTCTATTGTGGTTGGGAGCTTGGGTGGATTACCTGATTATCCTGAGCTTCAGTTTCCTTACCTTTGAGATGGGTAGATGAGCTGGGGCTGTGAGGTTTGTTCTGGGGAGGGAGGTAAGCATTGATGGCTGAGAGCGCTTTCCTGGGCTAGTCCTTTTCCCGCCTCCTTCTATCCTTCAGGAGAGCCTCAGATTGCATACTCTTAGCTCACTCTTGAGGTCATCTGCAGACCATTCCCTTACAGCCTAGTGCTTCCCGTGTCTCTTGGTCTGCAGGTGCTCGCTGGCTGTGGAAGTCTGGTCCTCACCTTGGGCAGGTTGGAAGAATCAAGAAGTTAAGCATGGGGCTGACGCTGTGGCATAGTGGGTTGAGCCTCCACCTGTGGTGCTGACATCCCATATGGGTGCTAGTTTATGTTTCAACTGCTCCTCTTCTGATCCAGGTCTCTGCTTTGGCCTGAGAAGGCAGAAGATGGCCCAAGTGCTTGGGTCCCTGCACCCACGTGCAAGACCCAAAGGAATCTCCTGGCTCCTGACTTCGGATGGGCACTGCTCCCGCCAGTGTGGCCATCTGGGAAACTGAATCAGTGGATGGAAGACCTCTCTGTCTCTCCCTTTCTCTGTCTGTAACTCTACCGCTCAAATAAATAAAATAAAAATTAAAAAAATAAAGTTAAGGCTTGGCTTTGATCTTGAGCATAGGAGGATGGCAGTTGGCAGATGAATACCCAGCTCCCTTGTCCAAAGGTGGCAGAGTTCTGAGGCCCAGTTTCTTAGAGGGCCTCCCGTATGGTCTCACCCCAGAGGCCTACAGTGACAACACATGCATCACGGGCCAGGGCTGACTTCACTCTCTTCCTTGCACACTTCACTACCTCTTCTCCGTGCTCCCTGGGATCACTTTGAAAATCAGCTCTTCAGATCCAGATCTTTACATCCTGGGTGTCCACACACATCCACATTGGGAGACAGGTCACCCAGTATTCTCTGGGAACAAATTATGGAGCTCCCCACTTTCCATCTTCATTGTTGGACTCACGTCTTCCCTTCTGGAGTCTGGTCCAGGGGTAGGGAGAGGAAGGAAATCACGGCTGAGAGCAGTGCTTTTCAACTTCAGGTCCTAACTCAATAGGGAGTGACAAAGTTCGCTTTCTAAACAGGAGGAAGATATGACGTGCCAGAATGTATTACAGATTGTGAGAGTATATACTATTATAGAGGCATCCCATTTCATTCATTCACATGTTTGCTTACCTGTTGGTGAAGTACTGTTTGCAACACAGATCATGGTCCAAAATTTTGGAAGCCACTGCCATAGATAGATTCTGTGACTTTTTTCCCACCCGAGAACCCACTCTTCCCTTTTCCTCTGGTGACAGCACCTCAATACTCCTTACAACAAAGAAAGGAGCCCATGTTCCTTGTTGTGCATAGTCTTAGTAGGACTGTCAAGTACAATGTCTTTTCCTTCCTTGGTAAAAAAATACGGCCACATGATCCACACCAGGTCCGTCAGGGAATCCACATTCTGAGAGGAAAAACACAAGAGCTGAAAACTGTTGAAAATGCTTCAGTCTAAGGGAATAGATGGAGGATAATGCCTTCTTTCCCCCCTGCTCCCTGGATCCCTGGACTTGATGCATTTCCCTTCCACGTTCTGCCTGTTTAGCTGTTGAGTTGGTTCTGTAAAACGTTGGTGGACTACCTCTCTCTTTGTTTTCCCTCTTAGGTACCTGAGCTAAGTTGCTAGAAACCAAACAACTCCCCTATGTATGAGGGCTTTGAAGTTAGCTGGCACTGACAGTCCTGTTTCTTGGTTGTGCAACTGTGGAAAATTACTTGACCTCTGCAGACTTCAGGTTCCTCTGCTGTGCAATGGGGACAGTAATGCCAGACTGACGGTTATAGATGATGCTTAAATGGCCACTGGCTCTAGATGCTCAATCAATGGCGACTGCTATTGTGGACCAAATGTTATTCATATTTGTTTTACAAGTGATGATTTTTCAACTTGCAATGATCTGTGGGGTGAATGAATGAATCCATAAGAAAATGTGGATCTTCACAACAAAAACGCACAGTTAATTTTCTCCTAGTTTCTTTTTAGCTATTAAAGGGTGATCTTTTAGTTCAAAAATTTAATATGAGAAAATCTCTATGACTTAAGGTTAGGCAAAGAGTCCATTTATGATAATAAAAACACATTTCATATGAGAAAATGCTTCAAGAAATTTGACATCATCAAAATTAAAAACTTACTGGGGCCAGTGCTGTGGCATAGTAGGCTAAGCATTGGAGAGTTGAACTGTTGAACCAGTAGATGGGAGATCTCTGTGTCTCTGACTTTCAAATAAAAAATGAAAAATAAGTTAAAACAAAATAATTCTCATGTGGATTACATATTTAAGTAATGTCATTTTTGATATATTGGATGAATTAAATCTATTATAATCAATCTTTCCATTTTTTTTTCAAATGTAGTGACTAGCAAGTTATAATTTTGCTACATATCTTGCTTTGTATTTTTATCAGACAACACAATCAGGGAGTAACGGGATGCCTGGCTTTCTCTCTCTCCACTAGACAGTTGGGTGTAGATCTGTTCACCCAGGGCTGACCAAGGCCCACCCAGACTCCCATGTTTGGAGTCCACTCACTTCTTCCCAGTCTGTCTGGGGAGGTGACTGCCACTCTCCGTGTCTGAGTTGTTTCCTGTCTGGTTGCCTTTCCCTAAAGAAGGAGATGGCAGGGTGGAACAGAGCATTGTACAGAGTTGGGTGGAGTGAGCATTAGACATTGAGAACAGCGAGGTTTGAAATGAGACTTGAGGTCAGTCTATTCTAGGCACTCCTTTGTTGTACGGCTCTGGATCTCTCTTAACCTGTATTTTTCATGTGCTAGAGGGCGAATGTTCCTCCAGGGGTTCCCTTAACTCAGAAAGCTATCCCCAGGGCAGGCAGGGCAAGTGCAGGACAAGCGCCTGTCTGCCTCCAAGCAGTGACGATTGTCCTATTGCTCTTACTGCCTTCTGTGGGGCTTGCTTTCCCACCTCAGCCTGTTTTATTTCTTTCTCTCTTTCTCCCACTCCCCAACCCCCCAAACACACACAGGCGCTCTGCCCAACTTCTCTCCCTGATTCAGCACTGAGAAATGCCAAGGCAAGCGTTCCCATGAAGCTGCTTGTCAGCAAACACCCACTCCTGTCTCGTCTCCCCCATGTGTCAGCGCCGGGCCTGGACTCCCTGCGAGACCTGGCCAGGGCCCGAGGCCGACTCTCACACACACACTCACTGCACTCAGAGGCTACAGGGCTGTGCTCCCAACCTGAGCATTTCGAGACAGGAGGTTCCCAAACGATGCGGCAATCCAGGGAGAAGACGCCCGCCAACCGTCCACACGGCTCGCAGCAATTTTCCTGGATTCCGCTCCAAAGACATAAAAGCCTGGGTTGCAGACGCTCAGTCTGCCCTTTTCCCTCTTTCCCTTTGCCTTTGGTTTCAATTGTGCTTTCGTTAGGTCATTCTTGTTGCTCGCCTCCTACCGCTCAGTGTCGGCATCAAACATCAGGTAGGTGCAGGGAAAATGAATACCGTCCCAGCCCTAACTGCCACATCGGCTTTCATCAAAGAAGCCCATTAAGTGGCTGTCTGGGCATGGCGCTGTCTGAGGCTCTGTGCAAGACAAGTTCAACAGACAGGAGGGGTCCCTTGGGGTGCGTGCATAATGGTGGCCACAATGGCTGCCTGGGAGGGTTATCCTGATTGCCAATAGGACTTTGAGAGCTGCAAAGACCTGTCAGATCCCAAGTTCAGAGGGCTGCGATTTAAAGAGCTCAGAGGCAAGCCTGGGGTGGGACCTGTGCCATCAGAAAGGGCCATGTCCCAGAAGTGTGGCAGTGTGGCCTGGGGGATCAGGCCCCTGGGTTTTGAAAGCCAGCAGGTCTAAGAGTACATCTTGGCTCCTGCTTGAAAGAGCCTCCTGGGTGCATAACTTAATGTTCTGCGGCCTCAGTTTCTCATCTGTGGACTGGAATGGAAGCCCCAGCCTCATAGCCTGATGCCCACAACACGATCCCTGCTGTTTACTGTTTACTGAGTGTCCTGCTCAGTGCTTGGCGGAAGCATCCTAATCCTCACGACAGCTCCACAAGGCAGATACTGTGCTCGCACTTGTAGTCCAGAGAAGGAAACTGAGGCTCGACAGGTAAGTAAGATCTGAGATGATAGAGCTGGCAAGTGAGGAGAGGGGATTGAAATTCCAGCTATCTGCATTCCGGGTAGAGTTCCGGGATTCCGGCTCTGGCTTTGGCCTGGCCCAGCCCTGACAGTAGCAGCCATTTAGGGAGTGACCCAGCAGTATCTGTGCTCAGGTAGAGACAGGGAAGGTGGGGCTGGAGCACCCAGGCTGAGGTACAGGGAGCTGGGAGTCTTCCCCCTGGGAAGCAGGGAGCAGTAGGAGGTGGGACTGTGCGTGAACCAAGGCTCTCAGCTCTGGAGTGTTTGTTATTGCCCCCGTAGACTTGATCTTTGGAGTGCAAATCCAAAGCAACATGGGAATCTCTGTACATCGTGGGAGGCAGCAAGTGATGGCTCCACTACTCGGGTCCCCATCACCTAAGTGAGAGACCTGGATGGAGTTCTGGGCTCCTGAATTTGGCCTGGCCCAGCTCTGACTGCTGTAGGCATTTGGGGGAGTGAGTCCCCCTGCCTTTCAAATATAATGGAAATAAATAAAAACATTTTAAGCATCTTCAGAAATTGTTTGAAAATTTCAGTGTGGCATCTGCATCGCCACACTGAATGTGGGGCCTTAAGCTCAGGGCTCTGTTGTGCTGCACTGGTGGAATGCTTGTGAGGTTGACGCTACTTACACGCTTACTCAGGCAATTTCCCTTCTAAAGTGAGAAGTAGACACTTTTATAGATGTCTTTCCTTCTTTTTCTTCTTTTAAAATATTTATTTACTTATTTGAAAGGCAGAGTTAGAGAGAGGGACACATACACACACAGATAGATACACACACACACACACACACACACACAGAGCGTTTCCATCTGCTGATTCACTCCCTAAATGGCTGCTACTGCCAGGGCTAGGCTAGGCCAAAGTCAGGATCCTGGAACTCCATCCAGGTCTTCCATGTGGGCGGTAGGGGGTCCAGGCACTTGAGACATCTTTTTTTAATATTTATTTATTTATTTGAAAGGCAGAGGCAGAGAGAGAGAGAGAGAGAGAGGTCTTCCATCAGCTGATTCACTCCCCAGATGACCACAACAGCCAGAGCTGCACCCACCTGAAGCCAGGAGCCAGGAGTTTCTCCCTTGTCTCTCATGAAAGTGCAGGGGCCCAAGGACTTGGGCCATCTTCTACTGCTTTCCCAGGCCACAGCAGAGAGCAGCCAGGACTAGACCTATTGCCCATATGAGATGCCAGCGCTGCAGGTGGTGGTTTTACCCAATAAATCACAGCGCTGGCCCCTTGACCATCTATGACAGCTTTCCTAGCCACATTAGCAGGGAGTTGGATTGGGAGTGGAGCAGCTGGGACCAGTACCACTGTGCCATAATGCTGGCCCCTTGTGGGGTGTTTGTCTTTCTGTATACAATCGAGTATTACCTAGCATGGAGACATGTCCTGATTCATTAGATGAGTTTGTCTTTTCAACATTTT